TAATATGACCTACCTAGATGCAGTAAAGTCATACGGATAGATAACTGGGTCTATGAAATAAGATATAGCAATATTCATAAGTTCAACAAAGTACCGAGCGAAGAACTTCAGTACACCTATAGGTTCCCAGAGGGACAACTTGTCATAGTTATGCATATGTTCCCAAAGTGAGGCCTAGAGATTGGCTAAAAGCTGGAGGGAAGAGTCGCATAGGCGCACATACAAGGAAAAAGTCGCACAAGCTGCATGACAGAAGGTAGCAACAGTTACGAGATTGGAAGAATTTCGACCACAAGCTGTGGTGTGAGAAAGAGGCCTAAAGGTGGGAATGCCCTGGACTTTGGATTTATTCACAAAATAGTTGCCTAGATGGCAAGGACAGCATAAAAACCATTCGTAAGAGCTATCCAGTTATGAGATTGATAAGTGCATCAGTCAACATTCGATGACGAATGTTCCAAAGGGGGTAATGATGTTACACCTTGCAGTACTACGCTGATGTTACGCTCCGCAGTATTACGACAATGTTACATCCCGTAGTATTGTACGTTGAATTTGTCGTAAGATAATTGACATCATTTCAAGGACAAGATTATTTTAAGGTTATAAGCATTTATGCTATTTATAACAGGTGATAAGTAAGTACCGTGAATGTTAGAGGGTAAACAAATCAAAGAAAATGAGTTTCGTTGAAGGTTGTCAATTTGGGATAAAATATGGTCTAAGCTATAATACCCGATATTTATGGACTAGTGCCATACAAGGTACCACATGACCATGATAGTAAGGTATATAAAGTATGTTAAAAGTAATTAGTATTTTAAGTAATTTGAGATAATTCTTTATTATGAGGATAATTGGGTAATTATTAATTTTTAGTGGGAGATTAACTAATTAATTAAAAAAGTTGGATAAGTTTAATGAACCCAACGTGGCAGCAAATGGAGTCTTAATCAAAGCCAAAATTGTGACTCTTATTTCATGTACTTAGGTGGCACAACTAGGGGATCTTTGGGACAAAACTAAGCTCCAAAAGTGGGGCCCATAACCTAAAATTTTAAGACATCTTCCTACATCATTAAGGGGGAGATATATGTGCTAAGTAACAGATGAATTCCCAAATGAATTCATATGAAATTTCATAATGCTACAGCAGCGTGAGATGCAATTCTGAGAAAGCACGGTACAATCTTTCTCAAGAATATCATACAGGTTTTTCCCTACTTCGATCTGCCGTTATGTGTTTTTCGCAAAAGACGTGGGCTAGAGGGATTGTTAAGAGAATCGACTCAGGTATGTTAAGGCTATCCCTTCTTTCCTTTTGGCATGATCCAAATGATACGAACGAAACGAGCAAATGCACAACTTTCATAAATGACTCTACTCATAGAAGTATTAGAGATGCCTATGTTCTTGATTTCCCATGTGTCTTATTATATCTTATGTTCATGGGTCTCAGGAAAATATGTAGTTGATAAAGTTTGTCTGAAGACATATTGATCTTATGACATTCTGAGAAATCTTATTAAAGTATTTCTTATGCATTTCATTCATTTATACATGTACATTGACCCATGACCAGATGGCGTTATATACGCGTATATTATATGTATATGGGGTATGTGGAAAGTTTATGCCGTTATATACACCACCACCTGATCAGTTGGTATATGTTGATGATTTTTGCCCATAGTGGCCGAGATGATATGATGGGATGCACTCAGAGGCTTGATGATGTTATGTACGCATATACCTATGCATCATATGACATTTATGCGCATATGCATGACATAATAAATATTAAATGATTCACAGAGCTATTCAGAATTACATGTTGAGTCTTTTACTCCATGTTTCCCTCATATCTTTTAGTTACTGATTTTCATTCCTTACATACTCGGTGCACTATTTATACTGACGTCCCATTTGCTTGGGGACGCTACGTTTCATGCCCGTAGGTCCTGATAGACAGGTTGATAGTCCTCCAAGTAGGCTATCAGCTCAACGGAAGGTGTTGGTGCGCTCCATTTGCTCCGGAGTTGCTTATTTGGTCATTATGATTTGGACATGTATTGATTGGTATAGCGGGACCCTGTCCCGACTTTTATGGTACTTATCTACTCTTTGAGGCTTGTAGACATATGTCATGTATATGAAAGATTGTGGCCCTTTCGGCCTATGTTTAGTGTACAAGTGATCATTTTGGTCTTATAGGCCCTTACGTCATATGTATAAGTCGGTATATCATGTTGGGTCATCCTATGTCGAATATTCCCTCATGCTTTATTCTAGTCATCTCATGACAACCTTTATGGTTCATTTACCTATGATAATATGATACGAAAGATACGTTACTGTGGTACTCGGTTGAGTAAGGCACCGGGTGCTCGTCGCGGCCAATTGATTTGGGTCGTGACACTCGGGCTCACAAGAATCATGATAATCATTCCAACCAATGATGATATAATGTATCAATAAAGGACAACAGATACTGAGGTATAACATGCAAATAATATCTGTGACTGATACAAAATGGAAAACTAAATAAATAATTCAACATGTAACACGACCTCTATGGGTCCCAACAGTACCAACATGTAGCCTAAGCATGATTTCTATCATAACTGGTAGCTCAATTTCTCTAACAGTTTGATACAATCAACACGAGCTAAAGGAATCAATTCCATAAGAAGATACTAAGTTCTTAATCAAAAGTCAACTCAAAAGTTGACCCTCGGGCCCACGTGTCTAAATCTGATAAAAGTCACAAAATCCGGAAGCTCATTCATCCACAATTCCAACCATTCCAAATTTATCAAATTCTAACACCAAATCATCACTCAAATCCCCAATTTAACTCTCCAAATCCCTAGCCTCAAACTCCCAAAATTCCACCTCAAAACACACAAACCAGGTGGAAAATTCAATCGGAAAACAAGATTATTGAATAAAAATGATCACAAATGACTTACCTCAAGAAACCCTTCGAAATCCATCTAAAAAATTGCCCTAATCCGAGTTTGCAAAGTCCAAAATGAGAAAACTCACGAAACCCTTCAGATATAGCAGTGCCAGTGTTTTCGCACATGCGACTTAATCGCATCTGCGGTCCCGCAGGTGCAGACATTTCTCCGCTTTTGCAGCCCAACCTGAGATCTCTGCCTTTACTTCTGTGATCCCACACGCACAGGTGCGAGTCCGCATCTGCGTAACTCCCTCCGCATCTGTGCTCCACTGTTTCCTCACTGAGCCCGCTTCTGCGCCCCTTCTCCGACCATGCAGGTGCAAAAATACCCTCGCACCTGCGACCACTGCACACTTCTCTCTAGGATGCATCTCGCTCCCCTACTCGCGCCTACGATCAAAACTCTGCAGGTGCGTTGCACCAGACTTGGTGAGCTTCAGCAGTCTTTCAAATTCTAAACTTGATCCGTTAACCATCTGAACTCCACCCGAGGCCCCCGGGACCTCAATCAAATATTCCAACCAGTCCTAAAATACGATACGAACTTATTCGAGCCTTCAGATCACATCAAATAATACTAAAACCATGAATCGCGCATCGATTCAAGCGTCATGAACTTTTGAACTTCTAACTTCTACATTCGATGCCGAAACCTATCAAATCACGTCCGATTGACCTCACATTTTGCACACAAATCACAAATGACACAACGGACCTACTTCAACTCCCGAAACCACAATCCGAGACCGGTAACCGTAAAGTCAACTCTTGGTCAAACTTCTGAATTTTTAACTTTTGCCATTTCAAGCCTAATTCAACTAAGGACCTCCAAATCACTATCCGGACACACTCCTAAGTCCAAAATCACCCAACGGAGCTACCGGAACCCTCAAAATTCCATTCCGGAGTCGTTTACACATAAGTCAACATCCGGTCAACCTTTTCAACTTATGCTTCCAAGCTTGAGACCAAGTGTCTCAACTCATTCCGAAACATCCCTGGATCCAAACCAACTACACCGGCAAGTCACATAACAACATTTAAGCATAAAATGAGCAGCAAATGGGCGAACGAGGCTACCACACACTACTAGAAAATGGGCCTATTGCAATAGTTTTGTTGTAACGATTATAGAACCGTTGCCATAGAACTACTATAGCAACAGCTAGAACCGTTCCAATAGATGCTGGATGATAGCAGCACACCTTAGAGATCAAACCGTTCCAATTGTAATTAAACCGTGGCTAAAAAGTTTTTTTCCGGAACGGCTTTGTAAGCCGGTCCAAATGACCTGTTTATGGGAACGGTTATTTGGGAAAAATTGTTATTGGAACGGTTCTTTTTTCCTCATCGTTATTCCCTCCTAAATTTTGCTAATCCCGCCAATAACAATCCCTAGTTCTTTCTATTTTAATTAAATATAAATATAAAATTATAATTTATATTTTACTACTATATCGTATTAACTCTCCTCCCCAAACATCAATACCCACCAAACCTCTCTAAAGACTCCATCGATATCCTCAAAGCTTGTCTTCTTTGCCATACCCTAAGAGAAAGTACCCAAATTTGAAAATTGCATTTGAGATCTGAAAATTTCCCTTCGCTGCTTTGATTCCCAAATTGCATTTCGACTTCTCGATTGCTTGAAGGATTAGCTGAACCCAAAACGAAAGCTCGACTGCTCAACTACTCAACTGCTTGAAGCCAAAATTTGGGAAAAGATGAAAGGCAAAATTTGCAACTGGGAATAACAATACAAATAGGTACTCCATGAACAACCACGTTCGTGACTTTCATGTGTTCATATTTCATGAGTTTTCTTTACAAATTCTTGATTTTACCTTCTGATGGGGTTTAATTTTCACTGTGATTAGTAGTTCTCTATAGTTGAAGATTTGGTTGTATTTGAGGGTTCAATATTTGGGTAAATAGGGTTGTATACTGCTACTACATCTTTCGTGATTTTTTCTATTTGTTTTTTTTTTAATTTCTTAACAACAGATTTGTCGAACTGTAGAATTCTTCGTTTACAGGTAGTGTAGGAAGAAATCATTATTGATAGATGAGGAGAAATCGTTGCTGGTAGCTAAGGAAAAAGTCGTTATTGGTAAGTAGTTTTTAATTTGAATTTTGGATTATTGAATTAAGTCCAGTATATATACATCTGTATATTGTATTCCTATGCTTAGATACTACCATCGAATATTGAAATGTTAAAATGATTCATGAGACTCATAAACAGTCTTGAATATGCTCTAAGGAGCATAATAATAACCACTCAACGTCTGTGATGCGTTTGTTGGTTATAGGAACTTCTCTTACTGGTATTATATATACTTCTTTTGTTTTATATATATCCACCGGTAAACATGGCTGAACCTCCAAATGGTGACCACAATTTTGGTGACCATTATTTTTATAATTATGGAACTCAAGATTTTTCGTTTACTATGTCAATGGATAATCTATTTGATTTTGCCGAAGTTGCTGTTACTGATTCTTGAATTAACTTCATATCCTCTGTCTTGTCTTCAAGAATAGTGTTTAAGGATGAAGATTTGGAGGTTGAGACTTGTGGATATTTCAAAGGAGATAACTTTATATTTTCTGCTTTTACATCTTCAGTGTTGTTTGTGTATGAGGTGGCTTTAAGGAATGGATCTTCTGCTGCTACTTTATATTTTCTGCTTTTACATCTTCAGTGTTGTTTGTTTGAAAGCTTCATTCTGTGTTTAATTGGGAGACTACATCTTCCCATTCTCTCTTTAGCTCTGCCAAAATTTGCAAGTTTCATTCTCTTTAGTCCTCCCAATCTTCTTTGACTTGCATGTCTTTCTTCCCAATAATCAAACTCCCTCTCATTCTCTATATCACAAACATTAAAAGCCATATAACAAGAGAATAAGTGACGAAAATGGAACAAGATAAAATGAAAAAAAAAGGAAACAAAGTACATAGGACATGTATGGAATTACCAACTTTACAGAGCTATGTCAAGAAATTCCCTTAGTATTCCAACTCCACCAGCACTAGCAACCAAAGCTTGAATTGTAAGGCCAACTGATTGGATTGAAAATAATGAATAGTAAAAATTTGAAGGACATAAGGCAAAACCAAAAGCAAAACAGGGGCATATCCGATATTTTTAGACATTCAAGCTATAAGCTCCAATATATTAGTGCAAAGTGAAAAGGAAAAGAAGAAGAACTTTAGGGATAATACAACTTTACAAAGTGTAAATTAACAGGGGAATTATTTCCCATCTGTCAAAAAGTATTACATGTGTTCATTTTCAAAATAGGGGAATTATTTCCCAGAAGGTAATCTTCACATGAGATAGAGTAATAATTTTTGTCATATATGTTTGAAAAGTGATCAAGAAGGTGTAAAATCCCATCGTTATAAAGCACATCGATATACTCTGTTCAACACTGAAGATGAACAAGTGGAAAAGTTTACCGAGTAAGATAAATTATATAACACTTATTCTATACTTCATTTGGTCTTGTAGGCTGAAATGGAAAGAATACAATCAACACAAGAAAGTGAAGATGGCAGTCAATCAGTTGATGCATTTGCATCAGTCATGGGACCTGAGCATCCAGGTCGCCTAAGATTGTATGGACGTGGGGTTACCAAGACTTCCTTAAAAAGAAAAGTGGGAGATTTTGGACCCTCTTTAAGTTCTACTAATGAGGTGATGCAACAAAAATTGGACGAAATGGAAGAAAGGATGCAACAAAGATTGCAGGAAAAGTTCAATGCACAAAAAGATGCCATCGAACTACAAGTTGCAGTTAACATCATTTCACAACTTAAGCATCTGAATCCTAATTTACGGGTTGATCCCAGCATGTTAGGTTTCAATGCTCGTTCATCTGGAGAAGCTTCCTCTGCACAACAAGCTGCTGTACAACTAATCAATCGCCTATCTACTGGGAGTAATAATCAAGGTCAGTATGTCTATCTTTGTTTGTTTCTTGCTTTCTTCTTCTCCTCCTTCTGCTTCTTTTTTAAAGTTTCACTTAAACTTATTCGTAGTTGACTGTTTTATCTCAAATTAGCTGGTTTTTGTATCTTTGGAACCTAAATCAATTAATCAGTCAACTACATTTCAATTACAAACTAGTTGGGCTCAACTCCATGCTTTACTGGTGACCATTTGTTTCAATTGCATGCTTTTTTCTTTTCTTTCTAAATCCTCATAGTAGACTCTCTAGATTGAAGGCTTCTGTCAACTAGCTATAGTTGAGCGTCAAAGGACATATAAGAGTAAGGGTGGTGGTTTCTGATTGTACACTACCTCATAAGGGGTCATTTTAATAGATAATTACTTAACTCTAATTCACAATCTTTCAATCATGATTAGTAATTGTGAAGCTAAAACCTTTTACTTTCCATTTTGTCATACAACTACTATATACTAATAATAGTACAGTCATTGTCAAATTGTGATCTGGAATATATTTAAATCTATAATTTAGGATAGTTACTAATTATGACAGTTTTGTAAGCATTCATGTTAGAATTCTAGGCTTATTAAAGGGGGTCATTTTTCCTAAATTTTAAGGGAAGGAATAGAAGAGTTTTAACCAGTTGAGGATATATGGGACATGCCTTACTTTAAAATGCTTTTTTAGTTGTTCCTCACTTTGTAATCCTAAGGAATGGCTTATTATAAGGAAATTCTAGACAGGCAAGGCATGTATTATTCTTGTTGTTTGTCCTTTTGGGAGATCATATCCTTGTATTGCACTTGTCTTGGGCTCCATGTGATAGAAGTGAAGATGTTCTTTTCCAAATTCTTTTTGATAATAGGACAAATTTCCCAAGGCTGGAAAGATCCAATCTAATTAGAAACTTCCCCCTTCTTTTTGCCTTTGTATTTAAATGTGGTGTTGAGTGCCAGTGTATAATTTTAAATAATATCTCTGACTAGTGAATTGTTAATTATTTTCATTGCTTGTGCATTTCGACTGCATGTTTAATCAGCAAGTCAAAACTGGAAAAGTTTTCTCGGCTAGATCAGTTTAGCACATTAACATTAGCTAAAAACAGATCTTGGTTATTTTTAACATTATTGTGGGTATGCACTCTTTTAAGAAACGATTATGGAGTGGATCCAAGAAAAGCTTCTTTTCTCTTATTCAAAAAAAAATCTGGACCATAAAAAAAGAAGTTGGTTGGGCTTTCTTGGACAACCCTGTCTATTCAAGTTTCTTGAATATATTCATTGGTTACTTGGTTAATAGAGATCATGAGCGTATATTTACAGATGTCTAGCATGTTAAAGTTGCTATTTTTGTGGGGGAGGTGGATTTGGCTTGGAACCTAGTAACATAAAAGTGGGCACATTTTGACATGCATATGGTTTGAGCACTTCATTCGAAAGCCCTGTTGCAGCTGCTGTAGTAGCAGGCTGCTATTCCAAGAGTGTTTTTAGTGCTTCATTCTTATTCCATCATTCTTTTGAAACTCTCTTTATCTCATTCCTGATGTACATCTTTTGGTTACCTGCTTAATTTACATCCATGTTAACAAAATGCATTGCTTGCCTTCCTGAGTACTACTCTTTTCACTTTTTAACTTGGTTCCGTTTGTAAGTCCATATTCATTCTGTTGTAAGATACCCTTTTGACTGGCATCTAATTGTTGTAGTTTTGGACTTCCTGTAATTCAAACATTTGAAAAAAAAGGTCATGCTGACTTGTAGCAATTGTATAGGCTTTGCATATGTTCCACAGATTTAAAGGTCATGCTGACTTGTAGCAATTCTTTTGCATTCTTACACAGACTTAAAGACAACCAATTACTTGTTGTCATTTCTGACTTGTTTTTGAAAACTTTGTGCCTTAAGATTTTTACCGGATGTAAGATTGTTTCATCCTAGCAAAAAGAACTGAAGACTTAGAGATCGACATTCTAGTACATTTGAAAACTTTGTGCTTTATGCATTGTTTATGGGCCATACCCATTCTTATAATAATAAACCAACTCTTGAAGGATAATGACTTTATTTATCCTCTTTTGTAGGTGGAGCAATTGAAGAAAGGGAAGATGGAGATTGTGAAGATCTAGATCTTACTTAAGAACTTTGAATTGTTGTCCATGTTCTAGGAATCTTTTGTTATCAACATTTAAAACTTACTCTAACTCTTGAAGTGTTGAAATATAAAACTTATGTGATTGGGTTAAAATATTTTGGTTTTATTGAGACAATATAGATTATGAAGTGTTTTATCTTTTTATTTATATAAATTTCAGGTTATTACAAATTTTATACATCTAAATATTCATTTACAGCCAGGGCATAATTATCTAATAGAACAGTTCCAATAGGTCTTGCAAACCGTTCCAATAGGTTTAACAAATTGCTCCAAAATAGTATAAAAGAACCGTTCCAATAGGTCGTCCAAACCGTTCCATTAGGTATTACAAATCGTTCCAAAATGTGCAACAAACTAATACAATAGGTAGTTAAAACCGTTGCAAAAAGAAATACAACCGTTATAGTAGCGTAATGAAACCGTTAGAATATCTGTAAATAAACGTTGCAATAGCTTACATAATCGTTGCAACAAATTATATGGTAACGACTGCCAACCGTTGTTGTAAACTCTATGGCAAGGGTTTTTAACCGTTACAACTGGAAAGAAATACTCGTTGCTTCAGACAGAGGAACAACCGTTGCGATAGATAGCCCTTAAGAAACGGTTTGGATAACCGTTGCAAGAACCGTTACTCTAGATCTATTGGCACGGCAACATATGTAACGGTCGCTAAACCGTTCCAATAACTCTATGGCAACGGTTTACCTGTCTGTTGCAACGGTTTTCGGGCTGTTGCAATAGGCTCATTTTCCAGTAGTGCACACTCAAAATGATTGGTTAGGTCGTTACAATCATGTATTTCTAATTATCTTTGTGGGGATGGACAACATGCAGTTCCAGTTTTAAGTACTGATTGGGATAGTATTACAACGACTCGACCGGTCATTTTGAGAATTTAAGTTCCGATCAGTGGCATAAGGTCTTGAGAAGCTTCATATTATTCGTATCGACTTGCGTGCATGGTTGAATTCAGTTAGCGGAGGATTCAGAATCAACTTGGAAGAAGGATTCTAGTTTTGGAAGCTTAAGCGATGAGAATTTGACCGGAATTGGACTTTTGAGTAAACGGCTCTGGAATGAGTTTTGGATGATCTCAACAGCTTCGTATGGTGATTTTAGACTTAAGCGCGCACCTGGATTCAGATTTGGAGGTCCGTAGGGTAATTTGAGGCATTTCGTCGAAAGTTGGAAAAGTTGAAGTTTGGAAAATGGAGAAGTTTGACCCACAGTTGACTTTTGTGATATGGGGGTCGGAATGCGATTCCAAGAGTTGGAATAGCTCCGTCTTGTCATTTGGGACTTGTCTGCAAAAATTCGGCATCGTTTCGAGTTGATTTGATAGGTTTCGGCGTGGTTTCTAGAATTTGGAGGTTCATAAGCTCGATTCGTGGTGCGATTTGCATTTCTGGCATTGTTTGTTGTGATTTGAGACCTCGAGTGAGTCCGTGTTAGGTTATAGAACTTGTTTGTGTGCGTAGACGGGGTCCCGGGGAGCCTCGGGTGTGTTTTGGACGAGTTTGGGATGTTTTGCATGATTTTGGAACATGTCCGATTTCTGGTGTTTTCACACCTGCGACCTTCGAGTACAGGTGCGGCTCTGCTTTTGCGTGAGCCTGATCGCATCTGCGATCTTTGAGGCCTAGAAGCTAGCTCACTTCTGCGAATGCTGAAATGCAGGTGCGAAACCGCTTCTGCGGTTGGTCTATCGCATCTGCGAAGAAGTCCGCTTCTGCGCTTGTGTTATCGCTTCTGCGGCACCGCAGATGCGGCTAATTGTCTGCAGATGCGGTCCTAGGTCTGTAAGTCAAGTTCGCAAATGCGAACATCTGCCCGCAAATGCGGTAGCGCAGATGCACTTAAGTGTCCGCAGATGCGGAAGTCCTGGCAGAATCCTTTAAATCGAGGGTTTGGCCATTTTCTTCATATTTTGAGTTTTGGACTTCGATTTTGAGAGCTTGTTTCTAGGTTTTTCAAGAAAATCGATTGGGTAAGTGTTGCTTACCTAGTATCTAATATATTCCATGATTTTATCTTAATTTCTATCATTTGATTTGTGTTTTGAGTTGAGAAAATGGTTGCTTTTTTGAAGAAAGTTTAAAAATGAAAAATCATGATTTGGGGGACCAAATGGTATCAAAATTTGATAAATTTTGTATGGTTGAACTTGTATCGGAATGGGTATTCGGTTTTTGTATAATTTGTCGGGTTTCGAGGTGCGGGCTCGGGGGTCGACTTTTGGACCTATTTTTGGATTTTGTTAAAGATTGAGACTTTATGATCCGAAATAGTTCCTTATGAGCTTTATTTGTGCATTGAAGTTAATTTGGTTAGATTTGAGCCGTTCGGAGGTCTTTTCACCCGAGAAGTGCATTTTAGAGTATCGGTTTGTCGTCTTTGGGGTAAGTATCTTGCTTAACCTTGTGTGGGGGATTTTCCCTTAGGATTTGAGTCTTCTATGTTGATTGTAATCAGTGTACGCGAGGTGACGAGTGCGTGCTTGGACTTATTTGTGGATAGTTGGCCTTTTAGGGTTCTTAGGTCCTTTTATTAACTCTGTATGAAGTTGTTCTTGATATGATTGAGTTCCTATCTGCTAGTTTCACATCTACATGCTTAAATTAGAATTTATTGCTTTAGGATTCACTTTTATTGCCTATTTGACTCTTATTTGACTTAACTGAAGATTTTGCCTCTTCTATCGTCATGCTATCTTTTCATAACTGCTTATCTTTAATTGAAATTGTTATTGTCTCATCCTATAATTGTTTAGTCTTAATTGGAGTGATGATTATCTTTTACTGCTTACCACTATTAGAATTGTTGAATATCCTTCGTAATTGCTCAACCTTAAAAGGAGTTTAGATAACCTATATCTTAGTGACTCGCCTTTATTTGGAACTATTTGACTCGTGTTTGCTTCCTTATTGTTGACTTGTATCTTGTGGGGTCGTTGCTACATGTTAGTCTTTTTCCTTGTCGAACTATTCCCTTTATGCCTAGCATCTTTACTGTGGTTATTCCTTGTGAACTGGTTCTACCGTTTCTTTGTGATTTAAAGTTCTTGAGTTGATTTACTCGTCGTACCTTGTATTATTATCATTTTTGTTGTTGTACTAGTTGTGGTGTATGTATGAGGTTTCTGCCGTGCTATAGCTGTTATTTTTGTTGGTTGCGCTGCATATTTACTTTGGGACTACGGGACGGTATCCCGGTAGATCTCCCTATTTTGCATATTTACTTTGGGATTATGGGACAGTATCCTGGTAGATCCCCCTATTCTGTATATTTACTTTGGGACTATGGAACGGTATTCCGATAGATCCACCTGCACATTTACGTTTGGAACTACGGGACGGTATCCTGGGAGATCCCCTATTATTATCATTGTGTTCTGAGTTGTGCTTTTCATTGATTTTATCCCTGTGTAAACATTCTACGTGCTGTCCGTTCTTTTCCTTATGCTTACTAGCTGGTATGAACTATGTTAGGACACTTGCACAAGCATGCACGTGGCTAAGTACCCTTATCGGATAAGAGGTTTCCTTGATATTGTTGAGTATAGATGCACACCCTTGTTTATTCGCCTTCCATGTGAGAATGGCTCTATTTGGCACGTGAATTGTCAATATGATTATGAGGTGTGATAAGGGCACATGATGCCAAGTGTTAGGGTGAGGTATTGAGACCCGTATTGTATGATTATGAGATGAGGTGTCACAAGGTGACTTATCTTCGAAGGATATTTATTTGAAAAGATTATATTCGAAAGGTATTTATTTTGAAAGAACTTTTTTTGAAAATATTTGTTTGGAGGAAGTATATTTTAAAATATTCCATCACTTGAAGGATTTGACTAAGTAATTGAAGTTTGTTGGCTAAGGCCTAATGTGAAAATTATCGTAGTTGCTGAGTTATGACTTGTCTCTACTGTATTTGTGATTTTGGATTTGGGTTGTATTTCCGTTCACTTTTCTGTGTTCTTATTATGGTGTTCCGCTGTTATTTGCTTTTTTTTTCCTTAGTGCAATTCCTGTATTGTTAGCCATATCGTGTAGTATGTATATTGATATCATGTTCTGTTGTTTCTATTCTTATACTTGTTCAGTTTATTAGACCAGTAGGTGTCTTGACTATTCCTCGTCACTACTCTACCGAGGTTAGTCTTGATACTTACTGGGCACCGCTATGGTGTGCTCATACTACACTTTTGCATATTTTTGTGCAGATCCAGGTATTGTTCGTTAGTAGCTGTGCAGATTCTTGCCGAGGAGACTCAAGGTAACCCTGCTGCTGCATTCGCAGGCTTCGGAGTCACCTTCCTATTTTGTATTCACACTGTTGTACTTATTTCCATACAGTTGTGTTTAGAAGTTGTAGCGAAACTCTGTAGAGCTTATGACTTGTACCGCCAGTTTTGGGAAGATGTAAATTCTATAAAGATTTCTATATTGAGACTGTTAGACTTTCTTTATTATGGTTGATATTCAGTAAATGTTAGGCTTACCTAGTCCCTAAGACTAGGTACCATCACGAAACCCAATGGAGGGGAAATTGAATCGTGACAAGTATATGACGTATTGTGAAGTTCTTGTAATTTTTTATGCAACTAACCTTTGAAGGTATTATGTACACTTTATATCATGTCTAATGTACACTTTCTTAAGATATGTGTTGTTTGTTCTCCTTTAAAATAGTTGATGTAAAATGAAGATGTTGCCTTGAAAGAAATGACAAAGAATATGAGAGAGAAATTTGACAAGTATTGGGGGATCCAAAAAAAATGAACAAAATAATTTCTATTTCATGTGTGTTGGATCCACGCCACAAGTTTCATACTCTTTCCTTTGCGCTTGCTGCTATGTTTGGAGAAATAACAGTGTGAAAATATAAGAGGAGGTGAAGACATACCTGAAAACTTTGTTCAATATGTATGCAAAGAAAAAAGGTGGTTCTGGTTCATGTGCATCTTCTCCATCTTCCGATTCATGTCCATCTTCTCCATCTTCATCTACTTCTTCATTTTTTTTGGTTCCAACCTCTCATTCGATTATATATAGGTAGGGTTGGGTGAGATACGATTCTCTCTTCTGAATAAATT